GTTGCTGCTGAGAGCTGCTCCCCGTTAAGCTGCCCCCGAAAGCTGCTCCCCAAAGCTAATGTTCTTCAAAGTAATCGTTCCTCAGAGGTATTCCGGAAAGCTTGCCAAAGTTGCTCCCTAAAATAAAGCCCCGAAGCTGCTTCCCAAAGCTGTTCCCCAAAGTACCTCTGCAAAGCGGTCGCCCCAAAGCGGTTATGCTTTAAACCTGTTCCCCAAAGCGCTCCCCAAAGCTATTCTCCAAAGCGGCTCCCGAAAGTTGCTCCCCAAAGTTGCTGCCGAAAGCTGCTCCCCAAAATTACGTTCTAAAGCTATTCTCCAAAGGTGCTTCCCAGTTAAAGCTGCCGTGCAAAGCTGCTCCTCAAAGCTGCTCCGGCTCCCCAAAGCTGCTCCGCTCCACAAAGTTGTCCCCCAAAAGCCGTTCCCCAAACTTGATATCGAAAGCTGCTCCGAACAGCTGCTAAACTTGCCCCCGAAAGTTGTTTCCGAAAGCGGCTGCCCAAAGTTGCTTTCTAAAGCTACTCCCCAAAGCTGCCGTGCTTCAAAGCAACTGTTCGTCAATGCTGCTGCAAAGCCGCAAAGTTGCTCCCCACAAGTGCTCCCCAAAGTTGTTCTTCAAAGTTGCTACCGAAAGCCGCATCCCAAAGAAGCTCCTCAAAACTCCAAAGTTGCTGCCCGAAGCTGCCTTAGAGCTGGTCCGGAAAGCTGTCCAAAGCTGCTCCCCAAAGCTTCTACCCAAAGCTGTTGCCCGGCGCTGCTCCCCAAAGCTGTTCTCCAAAACTGTTCCCCAAAGCTGCGATTCCGCAAACCTGTTCACTAAAACGGCTCCCCCAAAGCCATTCTGCAAAGCGGCTCCCGAAAGTTGCGCCCCAATGTTCCTACCAAAAGCTGCTCCCCAAAGCTGCTGTCCAAAGCTATTGCCCCAAAATCGCGATTCTTCAAACCTATACTCCAATATGGCTCCCCAAAGCTATTCCGCAAAGCGGCTCCCGAAAGTTGCTACTGAGAGCTGCTCCCCGAAGTGGTTTGTGTACAGCCAGATCGTAATATTAGTAGTAATAAATTGAGGGTATGCCGTTATAGATTGCGTCTTGGGACACAACAGTGAATAGCCATGCAGTCTACACCAAGGGCACCGCCGCAGGATCAACATGACTAATCGTGTAGCCATATGAAAATATGCGACTGATTTGGTTGTCTAACTTCGTTTCGCTAGCTTGGCGAGCCTATATTAGCGGCCTTTCCAATGCCAAGTCAGCAAGCAGGACTTTATCGTTTATATTGGAGTTATGCTTCGCAGCACTGGTGCATGGCACATAACATCCAGGATCACCTTGAAATCAAATCGCCATGGGAATTTCGTTTTGGGGAAAAATTTAAGGAACCCAATATTAACTCATATTGATTTCTGGATTGGACCCAAGTTGAAACCCAAGAAGGACTTCGTTTCGATCCTACTTCGAACCCAGGTGTTTTGCTATAGGATATACCATTCAACCGGGCTTCATCGGCGCCAAAAAGACACTCGTACCCACGACCAGCAGGCTTGAAATATCTGTGGGCATGACGTTGTGGTGCTCGCTGCGCCACGCAATGTTGTGCTACACTCGCCAAAATCTGATATGTACCTTTTAAATCTGATAATGAATTAAAAGAGCGATAAACGCATGAGATAAATTCAAAATAACGGAAACGTATAACCAAAATTCCCAAAAAAGTAGTAAATTTTCGTCCTCCGCGCATGAAGAAGTGCAGATTGAACTTACATTCGTAAAAATCCCATAATTCTGGCAATTTTTTGACAAAATTGCGTTCGGGCTGAAAATCCCAAAATTGTGGCAAATGTTTGGGAAAATTGGAATTCCGCGCGTGCGCCAAATTCAGAAGACACGGTGTCAAACGCAACTGCAAGACCTATCGGGCGACAGTGGACCAGGGGGGGAATGGAACCCCCGACCGACTCTGACCGACCGTACTGCATTTGCTTAGTGAGACATTGAGTGGGGAGAAAAGGAATTTCCTACTAGACATCGGTTGGCCCGAGAGCAAAGAAGACGTTTGGCAAGTAGCTCTGAGTATGGTAGTCGTAAAAAATAGTCGGTGAATGATTGGCGAATTTTATATGAGCTATGGAGGAATAAATTGTAAAAAATAAGATTGATTAAGAAGAGGATACATGTGACAACCCATGCATATGCACTGTGCTGCTTGGTAAAGGGCATCATATGACACGTGT